GTTCTCGCCTGAGCGCCGCGCACATTCGTGTCTAAAACTTGCAAGAATTTCACGGGTTCACATGATGAGCGTACCAGAAATGATTTTTTTGAATGATTCAGGATTATGCGGGTGCAACAGTTATGTTGGTTCGCGGTGCTGAGATCCAGAAAATGGCGTGATGGTACGATTCCGGATCGTTAAATCGCAGCAGTCAGGTTGATACGTGGCGTTGAAATCCCGAGAACTATGCTGTGGCATGCGTCAGGATCTTCAAACGGTTGTCCTCCAACGAGGCAGTTCCCTCAATGGAAATGAACCGTTGTAGGGGCCTATGGAGAGGGGGCTTGGAGGGAGGTCATATTCCAACATCGTTGATGACTCTTGGCTTTACACTGGTCCTCCTCCTCCTCCTCCTCCTCCTCCTCCTCCTCCTCCTCTATTCCTCCTCGTCCTCCTTCTCCTCCTCCTCCTCCTCCTTCTCCTCTTCCTCATGTTTCTCCTCTCTTCATCCTCGTCGTCCTCCTCCTTTTTCTCCTCCTCCTGCTCCTCCTCCTTCTCCTCGTTCTCCTCCTCCTCCTCCTCCTCCTCCTCCTCCTCTCTTCCTCCTCGTCCTCCTCCTCCTCCGCCTCATCCTCCTCGTCCTCCTCCTCCTCCTTCTCCTCCTCTCTCCCCCTCCTCCTCCCCCCCCGCCTCCTTCTCCTCCTCCTCTCTTCTCCCTCGTCCTCCTCCTCGTCTCCTCCTCCTCCTCCTCCTCCTCCTCCTCCTCCCCTTCCCCCCCCCGCCCTCCTCCTCCTCCAATCCTCCTCCTCCTCCTCCTCCTCCTCCTCCTCCTACTCCTACTCCCTCCTCCTCCTCTTCCCTCCTCCTCCTCCTTTTCCTCCTCCTCCTTCTCTTCCTCCTCCTTCTCCTCCTCCTTATCCTCCTCTCTTCCTCCTCCTCCTCCTCCCCTCCCCTCCTCCTCCTCCTCCTCCTCCTCCTCCTCCTCCTCCCTCCTCCCCCTCCTTCTCCTCCTTCTCTCTTTCTCCTCCTCCTCCTCCTCCTCCTCGTCCTCCTCCTTCTCCTTCTGCGCCTTCTCCTCCTTCTCCTGCTCCTCCTCCTCCTCATCATCATCATCATCCTCGTCCTCGTCCTCCTCCTCCTTCTTCTCCTCCTCCTCCTCCTCCTCCTCCTCGTCCTCCTCCTCCTCCTTCTCCTCCTCCTCCCGCCTTCCCCTGCGTTTGTGCCGATTGGCTGAGTGCGGGAGGGGATGTTCGGTGTGTCTGCGCCCGGCGCAGCGGGGTCTCTCACTGCAGGCGTGGCGCAAGCAGTGCCAGCGGAGCGAGTCCGAGCAGGGCCCGATTCGGTTCGATCCGTCCGATCCGATGTCGGCTTTGGCCCGCCCGATCCGATTCGATTTCGATACTCTGGCGATCCCGTGCGACCCGAGCGCTTGTACGGCGTTGCTGTGCATCCTGACGCGTCCGATTCGATTCGATTCCGGCTCCTTGCCGATGCGGCCCAGTTCGATGCACGATCCGATTTAATCCAGCGCATCGACTCGATGTTGACCGGTCTTGGTGCGAGCGACTACTGCCCCTGCCCGACGACATCATGCTCTTCTTTTGTCTTCCCTTCTCACCGCTCTGCTCTCCCTCCTGCCCTGCCATCTCGCAACCATCTCGCCGCCCCTCCTCGACAGCTGCGAAGTCCTCCCCAAACCTTTTCGTGACAGAGGGGCTCTTTTGGGCATCCTATTCGTGACGGAGGGCTGCAGAACAAACAGCAGGTAACCTTTTATTACAGCTCTCGGGTTGCTCCTCTGGGCTCGAACGAGCAGCGGGCGAATGCGGGTGCGCGGGTAATAGTGAGTTCCGCCGAGCATGAGTTCGTGTATGTTTGACTACCGCTGCAGGGGGGGGGCTATCCACGGGAGTCTGCACGAGATCTCACCGTTATTCTGTATGTTCGTCCTCAGAGTTCTTTGTACCGAGACATCCGGGAGCACATCGCATCGTTACACAGGTCCTTCCAAAGTTGCGTCCCCCAGCGGCGCATATGAGGAGTTCTACCGTGAGGATCTTGTTGGAATTCGTTGCGCTATCATTGTGCTTGTGCTTGGCAGGTGCCAGCCCGATTTGCCCCGACTTCAGTAGCCGATCTCTGACGCCGACGTCGGCGCTGCGCGACAGCTCACCTACCTGTCTCTCCAGGAGCAGAGACTGCCGAGGGTTTCTTAGATGCAGTCTGGACGCTGAAAATATAGGCCACCCGTGGCCGAGGCTCGCCGTGGCCAGCAACGCCTCTCTGTTCCCTATTTGCCGTTCCTGCACGGCACTCAGAACCTATCATGAGGATGGGCGGTAAGGACGCAGGACCCTCGGAGGCCGAAGTTGGGATCTGTTGGGCAGCGGGCGACCGAAGTTGGGACACGTTGTAGCCCGCGTCCTTAGAGCTGCCCCCCCAGAGGAGCGCCCCGCCGCGCAGCCGAGGGACGGCGACCGCCCCAAAGGTACCCTGAAAGGCTGGCCGGTGAAAACGGCTAAGGACGGGCCGCAGAGGCAAGTGCCCGAGGGTGCCCCAGGAAGGACGCGTGTTCTGATAATGGTTTGTGACTGCACCCTGGAAAGGGAATGCAACTCTCGCGCGCGGTCCGTCTCCCCGCGCACCTCGATTTCAATGTTCACGCAGGGCGCCGCACGATCCGATTGTTCGCTCGTCGGCCGCGGCTCATTTAACACTGAGATCGGGGGCAGGGGTGGAGGGAGGGCGAAACATTGAAAAGTAGGTGCGTTTCTTTTCCAGGTGGGTGTAGTGCGTACAGTCGGACCGAGGTATAAGGTCGAGGTCGGTTCGGGGAGGGTGCCCTGATCTTTTTCGCGTCCGTTGGATGTTCTTGCGCATCCTGGGGAGGGTGGCCCTTGCATGTCCTGTCTCTGTTTTTGTTGACCGGCGGCGTGTCCCATGCTCTCGAGGGCTGTTCCTCTGGCTCAGGCCCAGCCTGTGGCACGATAGGCTGTGCTCTCAGCCTGGGTGCTTCCGGACTGCAGCGTGCAACTCGGCCGCCCGGCCCCCTTGCGCCGCGGGGGCCCATTGCGGGCCCCCCGCGCGAGGGTGGCGTGCGGGAGGCCGTCCCCGCCGCGGCCGTGGCCCTCCGTGGCTCTCCGTGGCGCCCGCGCGGTGCACTGCGGGACACCGTGACGCGTCCCGTGTGCTGCTCAGGGGGCGGCAAACGTTCGGGGGGGCGACCTTCTCGAAGTCGAGGTTCGGGGTTTCCGGGCGTCCTCGTCGGCTCCTGGGGGCCTTCCAGCCTCGGGGTGCGCTCCAGCAGCTGCGCTTCGCCGAGGGCGTTCCAGGGGTGCCCGGATCGTCCCGACTGGCGGCCAGAGAGCCGATTTCTGGCCCGAAGGCCACGGGACAGCGTGCCAGGAGGAGGAGGAGGAGGAGGAGGAGGAGGAGGAGGAGGAGGAGGAGGAGGAGGAGGAGGGAGGAGGAGGAGGAGGAGGAGCAGGAGGAGGAGGAGGAGGAGGAGGAGGAGGAGGAGGGGAAGGGAGCAGGAGGAGGAGCAGGAGGGGGCGGAGGGGGATCGAGGGCCGAGGGTAGCTACATTGCAGGACCGAGGGGGATCAAGGACCGAAGGCCTCAGGGGGGGCGCGTCGACTCCCAATCGCCCATTGATCGCCGATGCCGGCTCGGCAGACCACCCCGCCCAGGAGCGTGCGGAGTCGCTGTCGGGGGCCTATCGCCGATCTATCGGCGACGTGTCGCCGAAGCCGGGTCCGGGCTCTCCCCCCCCCCCCGGGCTGGTCCCGCCCCAGCGCTGCCCCTCAGCTGCCCCTGGGCTTAGAGAACGGCGATGGTGCTCCGCGGCGGAGTGCCCCTGGCTCTAGATGGGGTCCTGCCAGCCATGCGGGTTGAGGGCGATTCTCCCTCTCTCTCCCTCTCTTTCTCTCTCTCTCTCTCTCGTTCTCTTTTTTTTTTTTGTTTTCTCTCTCTCTCTCTCTCCCTCCCTCTCTCTCTCGCACTGGCTGTGCTTCGTGACCCAGGGAGGGCGTCTGCTGACAGCCTCGCCGATCCTGGGCCCAGGATGGGGGTCCAGTCCAGGATCAGTGCCTGGTGGTCCGCTAAGGTCCCTCGAGTCACGTTCGGATGGGGGGGCCTGCGGTCCCTGGAGTAACGTTTGGAGGGGGGTTCGGGCCAGGATCGGTGCCTGGTGGTCCGCTGAGGTCCTTGGAGCAACGTTCGGAGGGGGGTTCGGGCCAGGTTTCGGTACTCGGTGGTCCGCTGAGGTGCCTCGGGTCACGTTTTCCTTTTGCGTGCGTTCGAGCACCCGCCTGGTCTTTGAGGTGCACTTCAAGACAAAGCACAGGGTCGCGCGCCGTGTGGGGCCGTGGGTGACTCGCCTCTCCTACGATGGGGGGGGCTAGGGGGGCGAAGGCCCAGAAGAGGCCGAGGAGGAGCATCCTCCCCTTCCTCCCCTTCCTCCTCCCTGTCATCTGAACCTCTTTGGCCACGCTCGACCTCCCTCCCCCTTTCCCTCTCCTGCCGCCCCTCGCTCCCCCTCGTCGTCGTCGTCCTCCTCCTCCTCCTCCTCCTCCTCCTCCTCCTCGTCATCATCATCATCATCATCATCATCATCATCATCATCATCATCATCATCATCATCATCATCATCATCATCATCATCATCATCATCATCATCATCATCATCATCATCATCATCGTCATCGTCATCATCATCATCATCATCACCACTTCCGTCATCATCATAATCATCATCACATCATCATCATCATCATCAGCATCAGCATCAGCATCAGCATCAGCATCATCAGCATCAGCATCAGCATCATCATCATCATCATCATCATCATCATCATCATCATCATCATCATCATCATCATCATCATCATCATCATCATCATCCTCATCATCATCATCATCATCGTCGTCGTGGTCGTCCTTCTCCTCCTTCCTTCCCTCCCTCCCTCCCTCCCTCGCTTCCTCACCCTCCTCCCACAGCATATAACGCCCGACCCCAGGCAAGAGGAGGTGCGCTTCTCCATGGCGGGGGCGAATCTCCGCAGCCCCGCTCTTTGCCTCGCTCTGGGCCTCTCTCCCTGCGCCAGGGGGATTGGCCGAGATGCCAGGAGGAGGAGAACGAGGAGGATGAGGCGGAGGAGGAGGAGAGGTAAGAGGAGGAGAAGGAGGAGGAGGAGGAGGAGGAGGAGGAGGAGAGGTAAGAGGAGGAGGAGGAGGAGGAGGAGGAGGAGGAGGAGGAGGAGGAGAGGAGGAGGAGGAGGAAGGAGGAGGAGGAGGAGGAGGTAAGGGGAGGAGTAGGAGGAGGAGGTTAAGGGGAGGAGGGAGGAGGAGGAGGAGGAGGAGGAGGAGGAGGAGGAGGAGGTGGAGCAGGAGGAGGATGTGGCGGAGGAGGAGGAGGAGGAGGAGGAGGAGGAGGAGGAGGAAGAGGAATAGAGGGAGGTGGAGGAGAAGGATGAGGAGGAAGAAGAGGAGGAGGAGCAGGAGGAGGAGGAGGAGGAGGAGGAGGAGGAGGAGTTGGGAGCCAGAGGAGGAACGTGGGATAGTGCCGGAGGATGCAGTGTCCGAGTCTGGCGCGCTGGGGCCCAGCAGCCCTGCCTGCAGGTCAACACCCGTGGCCAAGACGTCGCTTGGGCCAGAAGCTCGCGCATAATGTCGGCAACCGGTTTGGGCGTGGAGCGCGGGCGCGAGGCGGCAGACAGGCGATAAAGCACCGCCCCCTTAAAACCCTGCGCTCTCCAGCCTTCGGAGAAAAGAGTCCGCGCCTCCGCCCGCGCGCGCGGCGGGCGCTCGAGCGATGCGCACAGAGCGAGGAATTGAGGCGGCGCCTGGCTGGCGGAGCCGCAGTGCCGCCGAAGAGACGCCGGCCGGCGAGGGGGAGGCTCCCAGGACCCGGGATGGGCGGGGTGTTCCCAGTAAGGTCGGGCCAGGGACCCCGAGTCGGGCAGGAGGGAAGATGGATGAGGGAAGAGGGAGCAGGAGCAGGAACAGGAGGAGGAGGGAGGAAGGGGGAGGAGGAGGAGGAGGGAGGGAGAGGGGAGGAGGAGGAGGAGGAGGAGGGAGGAGGAGGAGGAGGAGGAGGAGGGGAGGAGGAGGAGGAGGAGGAGGGAGGGAGGAGGAGGAGGAGGAGGAGGGGGGAGGAGGAGGAGGAGGAGGAGGAGGAGGAGGAGGGAGGAGGAGGGGAGGAGGAGGAGGTAGGAGGAGGAGGAGGAGGTGGAGGAGGAGGAGGAGGAGGAGGAGGAGGAGGGGGAGGAGGAGGAGGAGGAGGTGGGAGGAGGAGGAGGAGGAGGGGAGGAGGAGGAGGGGAGGAAGAGGGAGGAGGAGGAGGAGAGGAGGAGGAGGAGGAGGAGGAGGAGGAGGAGGAGGAGGAGGAGGAGTATCGTGTTCCCAGCTGGCGACTCTGGAGCGACTGCTCCAGGAGTCGCCAAGCTCTTTTTGATCACCCCCCCATGGCCAACCAACCCTGGGGGCGGGGGGAGGGCAGCGTTCGACTGACTTTCTTGCCCTCAGTGCTTCAGTGCTTCAGCAGGAGCAGCATTAGGAGCAGGAGGAGAGCGAGAGAGAGGGGAGTAGCAGGAGGAAGGGGGAGGGGGAGGTAGGGGGAGAGGGAGAGGGATGGGGGAGGGGGGGGGAGGGGAAGGTAAGGGTTTTGAACAAGTGCCCTGGAACCAGTAGGTTTCAAGGTAGCCCAGGGACAATGAAATAGCGCTCCACCGCGTTGTGGATAACAATGGGATTCATTGAGCACAGGATTGCGACAAGAATTCAGCCTCAGGAGGTCCAAACATTGTGTTTCACAGCGTTTTCAGCATCGGAAGGGCACACAGCGTTTTCAGCCTCCAGACGCTGAACATGTTGTGTATTACATTGCTTCTATGCGTCCCGATAGCGAAAATGTTGTAAAGCACGGCGTTTTCAGCCTCCAGAAGTTCAGAACGCTTTGTTGTACAAGGTTTTGACGCTTCGCTATCCACAACACGGTGGAGCGCTCTTTCAGTGTCCCTGTCGTTGTCACTGCGCAGAGCGCCGAGTCCTCCTCCGCCTCCTCCGCCGCGCCGCCTCCTCCCCCCGCAGGAAGGGCCAGCAGCCGTTCCCCCCGCACCGTCCCGAAGGGACTCGTGATGTAAAGGTAGCGAGCGAAGGCAGGGCTGTAGCGCAACAAATCGCAGGGGATTGTGGCAGTAGCGCGTAGATCGCCTGAGTAGGTGCTCTGACGTTACATTCTCGTATGCGGATGCCCTTGTCCTTGACTGCCTTGTCCGCCCTCCTCGGCACGTCCTCCTCGCAGGTCCTCCCTCGCGGCCCACCGCCCGCTGCCCACCGCGCCCCTGCCCGCGCCCACGTCGCGCCCCTCCGAGTGCAGGCGAACTTGCTGAGCACGGGGAGCCTGGACCTCGCCGAGCCCCTGCCCGACGCCTTGCACCGGGCCGAGCGCGCGCCCCAGCAGCACCGCGCTGCCGACGGCGAGGGACGGGCAGCCCCAGACCTCCCCGAGCAGCGGACCCCGAGCCCCGACGCTCCAAGAAATCATCGGAGCGGCGGGATTCTGGCAGTTTTCGGCCTCCAGGGGCCGTCGCCGGGCCTCGGGGCCGTCAAAAACACGACTCAAGACGAACCGAAAGATTCGCCCTTCGTTTCCGAGGCGGACATGTCCGCCCGACTCTTTCGCACCGTTTGGGGTGCACTTGAGGCACGTTTTTTTTCGTTTCTCCTCCTCCTCCTCCTTCTCCTCTTTCTCCTCCTCCTCCTCCTCCTCCTCCTCCTCCTCCTCCTCCTCCTCCTCCTCCTCCTCCTCCTCCTCCTCCTAGTCGGAAACTCAACCAAGTACGGCGGATCCAGAGTCAGGGGGAGGTGTTTCGTCGTCTTCGGCCCCTGGGGCCCCTCGCCGGGCACCGAGGCTGTCCAAAGAACGATCGGGGGCGAAGAGCTGGTCCCCAGGAAGTAGTCCAGTCGAGCAGTGGCGAAGCGTCCTGGCTCGCCTATAGCCCCACCAAAGAATGTTCTAAGAACCTTTTGTGATATGCACGAAACATGCTCAGAGAAAGTATGGCTGTGACTGGATTGTTTTAACGCATCGGGTATATGCTCCCAGAACATTGTTCTTGTTCTTCGAACCTTTTTGGGTTCTAAGAACATTGCGTGGTAGGCCTATAGGAATGCCGGGACGGTCGGTCCCTGCTCAATCCAGAGCTCGTCCGGGGACCCCGCACGGCAAACAAAAAGTCCCAGACATCCGGTTGCTCCAAGTTTGGTCGATGCGTGGGCCCCAGAGGTCCAGACCACTTCTCTGTAGTGCCGGTTTTTCGTCCCGGGCCGTTCCGTTCTTGGACGCTCTCGAGGCCCGGCGAGGGCCCTTGGAGGCCGACAACTGCCCAACTCCCGCCGCTCTGATCTTGAAGCGTCGGATCTCGGGGGCCAGGGCCTCGGAGGCCTGGGACACTCCAACGCCGACCGCCGCCCCCGCAGGGCGCCCCGACAGCACCCTTGCAAGAAGCAGAGCCCATCTGCCGACCGCTGCCGGCCCGGCTACGCGCCCCCGGCACCCCGCCGATCTCGAGGGCCCTCGAGGAGGGCGCTCCCGCGGCGGCCTCCCGCCCGGACACCTCGGGCCGCTCCCCGTGGTTCGATGCGTGGGCCCCTCGGCTTCGACTTCGGGCCCCTCGAACGTTCTTCGGGCAGCCACGGGGCGAAACCATTTGTGCACAGCGGCCGTTTTCCCTTGATCTCGTGCCCTGGGGCCCTCACGGACCGATCCAGCTCGACAAGTGGCGCAGGAACCCAGACATCCGGCCGCGCGATTTGTTCCAGCGCCCAGGGGCCCTGGAGGTCTGGATCACTTGCCTGGTGGCGGCTCCTTGTTCTCAGTCGTGTTGTTGACGGTCCGGAGGCCCGGCGAGGGCCCCTAGAGGCCGAAAGCGACCCCAACACCCGCCGCTCCAATTTTTTGGGGGGCGTCGTGCCAGTTACGCGGTGGCGGGCACGGACTATAGGGTCAGGGAGGTGCTTGGAAAAGGGCGCGGGGGGGGGAACTGAAACAACCCTGGGTAAAACCCACGATCCTCCACATCCTGGGGATCGGGGCGAGGGAGAGACGAGAGCGGCGGTGGCTGCGGCCAGGGAGGTGATGGAGGCGGCGGCAGCCTGGGCACCCCACGCTGGCGGCGGCGGCGGCGGCGGGCGCGCGCGCATGTAAGTACGCTCGGGCGCAGCATCGCCCGAGCCCTCGCCGCCCACGGCAGCCGCCGCCTCACGCGTCGGCGCGGCGCCGTGGTCCGAGTCGACGTCGTTGGCGGGGTTGCAGTCCGTCTCGGGGTCGAGGTCGGGGCTGAGAGAGAGAGAGAGGGAGGAAGAGAGAGAGAGAGAGAGAGAAAAGCAACAAAGAAAGAACAAATGGGAAATATTGAGATAATGAGCGAGAGAGAGAGAGAGAGAGAGAGAGAGCGAGAGAGCGAGAGAGCGCCAGAGAGGACGGAACACCGAGGCGCAAGGGCACCGCGCAGCTAGTCCTCAGCGCGGGCCTCACAGCCGACCGGGAGGGGCACGCGGGGTCTCGCCGTGCGGGCGGGGGGGGTCGCATCTGCGAGAACTCCATCGCGGCGTCTGGGGTGGCGCAGGAGGAGAGGCAGGAGGAGAAGGAGCAGGAGCAGGAGGAGCAGGCGGAACATGCGCAAGAGGATGGCGAGCAGCTGTAGGAGGAGGAGGAGGAGGAGGAGCCGGAAGGAGAGGAGGACGGGAGGGGGGGAGGACGAGGTCGACGACGGTGAGGCGGCAAATGGGCAAGATGTGCAGCGGGAGGAGGATAAGAGGCTGGAGGAAGAGGAGGACGAAGTCTTCCTTGGGGCCTGTGCGCTCCGCCGCGTTGCCCGTCGCCGCTCTCGCGACTTGGGCTCCCAACTCTCACCAACTTGTTAGTGGGCATGTTTGATGGAGTGGCACCCGAGGCGCCATTCAGCCATCGAAGAGGAGGACGAACAGAGAAAGGGTAGTAATGAGGATAAGCTGGGAGGAACAGGAAGAGGAGAGCGCCAGGCCATCGACCCCCCCCCAGAAAAGCACGTGAGTCGGTCATCGTCGTTGTCTGCTCGACTTCTCCACGCAATCGGATCTCCCGAACTTGAGCCATCAGTGTTTCACAGCGGTCGCGTGATAGGTACGTCCAAGACAGTGGCAGCGCTTCTCGAGGTGCCCGCAAAACCACGAGCATGGCACCCAGCTCCCAAATCTCCAGGAGCCTCCAGAAGGTAGGACATAACCTTCGGAATGGGGAGGAGGTCTTCCAGAGTGGAGTTCGAGCCGATGGACATGTTCCACGTCATTTGAACTCTTTCCTGCCAGTGCGACACCCTGCGTTCGGAGTGCTTTGCGCTCTCTCTCTCTCTCTGTATACATATACATGCAGACATACTTGTATGTTTAATTATCTCTCCATCCCTTTCGCATTCTGCATCTTGTATGTTTGATGTGCCTATTTCTGTATTACATATATATATATATATATATATATATATACACGTGTGGAATATTGCATTGGCGCTTCGCGCGGTGTACCCTGCTCATTCAATGTCGGCCTGCGGGCGGAATGAGGGGGAGGTAAACCAGTACACACATCGACAGCCCATTGTCGCTGCCTAAGTCGTCGCCATGATGACATGCTGCTCCTTCTCCTTCCCTCAGATTACCTGTTCCTCTTCCCCGTGTTCGCCTTACCCTGCGAGTCCTTCCCTGTCCCCAGCTTTTTGCGAAGGATCCTTCTTGGAACGCCTTGTGGGGACCTCGAGATTCTTTATGAGCTGTATGAGAGTTTCTTGAAGCCTCCTGGGCGCCTTGGAGGGGTCTCTGGGAGCTTCCTCGGGACACATTGCTGCGAACCGCGGGTTTCCTCAACGGCCGTTTCACTGTTCGGAGTGCTTCGGGGGGCGTCTTGGGACCATCTTGGGGCGTGATAGGGGTTCTCTTCGGGCCATCTATGGGCCCTGTTGGGCCGTCTTGGGGCTCTCTTGGACTGTTTGAGGGCCCTTTCGGGTCATGGTGGGGCGACGATTCTCGGGGCCTCCTGGGCATTCTCGGACGCCCAGAAGACGTGAAGAACAGAGCATCAGCAAGCCGCACAACAAAAGCCATAAAGAAAATTACCGAGTTTTGCGTTTGGAGGGATTCTTGGAGGTAGTCTGTGGGCCGTCTTCGGGCGTCTGGTGGGTGGTTGGGGCCGCTTGAGGCTCTCGCGGCGCGATTTGAGCACCCCCTTGACCGCATTGGCCCCGCTGGCTAGGCCCGACGGGGACACCTAGAAGGCCTCTGGAAGTCCCGGGCCACTCGTCTGCGAGGGCGCCCAGGGGTTCCATGGGGATCGAGAATCTGGCGGGCCCGGTTTGGATTGCAACAGTATGGGAAAGGGTGTGTGTGTGTGTGCCCAGAGATCCAATGAATTGAACAAAATCAAGACGGAGGTTTTTTGCAGTTATGGGCCCTCGCCGGGCCCCAGGACCGTCAAAAAACGATTCAGCGGAAAAAACCGGTCCTGGGGAAAGAGTCGAGACTTCCGGGGACCCCGTATGGAAAAAATCACGACATCGGATCTCTGGGTGTGTGAATGTATATACAGAATGCATATTTCCACGTATGATCGCCCCGCCCCCGCCCTTGCGGTCAGGAGGGGAGGGGGGAGGAATGAGGAGGGAGGTGGGTAAGGAGAAGGGGGAGGAGGAGGAGGAGGAGCAGGAGGAGGAGGTGGAGGAGGAGGGAGGGGAATGATAATGGTGATGATGATGATGATGATTATGATCATCATCATCATCATCATGAGGAGGAGGATGAGGAGGAGGAGGAGGTTGAGGATGAGGAGGAGGAAGATGAGGATGGTGGTGAAGATGCTGATGATGATGGTGGTGGTGATGATGATGATGATGATGATGATGACGACGACGACGACGACGACGACGATGATGATGATGATGATGATGATGATGATGATGATGATGATGATGATGATGCTGATGCTGATGCTGATGATGATGATGATGATGATGATGATGATGATGATGATGATGATGATGATGATGATGATGGTGGTGGTGGTGGTGGTGGTGGTGGTGGTGGTCGTGGTGGTGGTGGTGGCGAGGAGGAGGAGGAGGAGGACGAGGGTGCGGAGGAGGAGGAGGAGGAGCAGGAGGAGGAATGATGGTAATGATGATGGTGATGATGATGAGGAGGAGGAGGAGGAGGAGGAGGAGGAGAAGGAGAAGGAAAAGGAGGAGAGGGAGGGAGGGAGGGAGGGAGGGAGGGAGGGAGGAGGAGAGAGGGGAGGAGGGAGGAAGGCAGGGACGGACGGAGGGCGGGAAGCAGGCCGCGGCGCCCCCCCGAGGGGTGGGCGGCCAGGTGGCCCTGCTCTGTCTGCTCAGCGCGCTCCTCAGCCTGGCCTCGCTGGTCTTCCTGGACTGGCTCCAGAAACAGATACGGCAGGCAGACTCGGTGCCCTCCCCGCCCGCCGCCTTGCGTGCCCGAGGGCCTGGCGATGCGTCTATCGACATTGAGGGGCGCGCCGACATCGCAGGGGCGTGGTCGCCATCTTTGAGGTTAATTTCGACGAGGGTTGTAGTACAGTGCGTCCTCCTTGGAGGCGCGCGCGTCCGACCCGAACGTACACGTAGTAGACCTATGGTGCAGTGTATGTCGTTTCCCGAGCGGTGTGGCCAGAAAGCGCCCGCCACGACGCACAGACGGTGGGGTGATGGGTAAGGAATACGCCCAGGATGCTGCAGACCCTGGAGGGTTCCTTCTCTGATGAGGGCGGCGGTGATATCCTTGGCCAATCCACGATTGCCTTTCCACTGGCTTCCAGACCCTGGATTCCTTATCGAAGGCTTCCTTACAAAAATATGCCCCCCACCGTATAAAACTTCTTAGTCACGTCCTTATGCGTCCCAAAGACATGCGCGCGGCCGCGCCACGCTGCGGGACTCCAGAGGCAGGGCTGTTCGCGGCCCTCGGTCCGATCTCCGACCCGATATGCCCCAGGAGGAGGAGGAGGAGGAGGAGGAGGAGGAGGAGGAGCTTCGACGTCCAGAGCTCGATGCGGTCGCGCACGGGCCAAGCCTGCCTTCGGGTGTTGCTAGAAGTACCCCTGGCCCAAGTCGAAGGAAGAAGAAACCACATGAGCATAAACTTTTGGCGCTCAGCGCGCATTTCTTGGATCCGCGCCAAGAAATCCACGCGGAGCGCCAAAAGTTTCTGTTTATTCCCCAAACAGCTTGCTGAACGGAATGCTGTTGTGATAGAAGCTAACTCTGGCCGAGGGAAGTCGGAGCAGAGACATCCTCACAAAAATTTGATGGTCCGGGCCGTTTCGCTTGAGACATCCTCACAACTCTCGTGTCTGAGTTGGCCGGGATTGGCCGTTTCGCCTGAGACATCCTCGAAAAGTTGCGCTCCGGGACGCCGCGCGAGAGGTGGTCCGGGCCGTTTCGCTTGAGACATCCTCGAAACTCTGAGCCCCGAGGTGCCGTGCGAGAGGTGGTCCGGGCCGCTTCGCCTGAGACATCCTCGAAATTCTGAGCTCTGAGATGCCCTGCGCGAGGTGGTGCGGCCCGTTTCGCCTGAGACATCCTCGAAACTCTGACCTCGGAGATGCCGCGCGAGAGGTGGTCCGGCCCGTTTCGCCTGAGACATCCTCAAAGTTCTGAGCTCCGAGATGCACTGCGCGAGGTGGTCCAGCCCGTCTCGCCTGAGACATCCTCGCAACTCTGAGCTCTGAGATGCCGTGCGCAAGGTGGTCTGGCCTATTTCGCACAAGACATTCTCGCAACTCTGAGCTTCCAGATGCCGCGCAAGAGGTGGTCCAGCCTGGGGGCCCAAAAGACCACATCTTACATATCCTCCCTGGGACCCTGGGAGCCTGCCTGAGATATCCTCGAACTTCTGAGCTCTGAGATGCACTGCACGAGGTGGTCCAGCCCGTCTCGCCTGAGACATCCTCGCAACTCTGCGTGCGCAAGGTGGTCCGGCCTGTTTTGCACAAGACGTTCTTGCAACTCTGAGCTCCCAGATGCCGCGCAAGAGGTGGTCCAGCCTGGGGGCCCAGAAGACCACATCTTACATATCCTCTCTGGGACCCTGGGAGCCCCAGGAGGCCCCAGAGAGCTCCAGGAGGCCGCAGGACGCCCAGGACAGGCTCCAGGGGTCCGCAGGAGATTCCCAGGAGGCTCCCAGGAGGCCCCAGGAGGCCCCCTATCAGAACGTGCCAAGTTAATACACATCCGGTGTCGATTCGTTGATTTTTCCTGCTCTTGTGCCCTCCATTTTGAGAGGCCCAAGCGGCCACATGTTAGATATCCCCTCCTGGGAGCCCCAGGAGGCTTCAGGAAACCCCAGGTGGGGTCCGGGAGGCCACAGGAGGCCCAGGAGGAAGCCCTCCGGAGGTCCCCAGGAGGCCCCAGGAGGCACCAGGAGGCCCCCGCAACTCGGAGCTCTGACCCGCCGCGCTCGAGGTGGTCCGGCCCGTTTCGCCTGAGACTTCCTCGCAGCACGTTTCGCCCGAGACATCGTCGCAACTCTGGGGTCCGAGATGCCGCGCGCGAGGTGGTCCAGTCCGTTTCGCCTGAGACATCCTCGAAACTCTGGGCTCCGAGATGCCCTGCGCGAGGTGGTCCGGCCCATCTCGCCTGAGACATCCTCGCAACTCTGAGCTCTGAGATGCCGTGCGCAAGGTGGTCCGGCCAGTTTCGCACAAGACATTCTCGCAACTCTGAGCTCTCAGATGCTGCGCAAGAGGTGGTCCAGCCTGGGGGCCCAGAAGACCACATGTGGCTCCCAGGAGGCCCCAGAGAGCTTGAGGAGGCCGCAGGATGCCCAGGACAGGCCCCAGGGGTCCCCAGGAGATCCCCAGGAGGCTCCCAGGAGGCCCCAGGAGGCCCCCTCTCAGAACGTGTCAAGTTAATACACATTCGGTGCCGATTCGTTGATTTTTCCTGCTCTTGTGGCCCCCCTCACCCATTTGGGGGGGCCCCGACGGCCACATGTTAGATATCCCCTCCTGGGAGCCCCAAGAGGCTTCAGGAAGTCCCAGGTGGGGTCCAGGAGGCCACAGGAGGCCCAGGAGGAAGCCCCGGGAGGTCCCCAGGAGGCCCCAGGAGGCCCCAGGAGGCCCCCGCAACTCGGAGCTCTGAGACGCCGCGCTCGAGGTGGTCCGGCCCTTTTCGCCTGAGACTTCCTCGCAGCACGTTTCGCCCGAGACATCGTCGCAACTCTGGGGTCCGAAATGCCGCGCGCGAGGTGGTCCAGCCCGTTACGCTGGAGACATCCTCGTAACTCTGGGCTCCGAGATGCCCTGCGCGAGGTGGTCCAGCCCATCTCGCCTGAGACATCCTCGCAACTCTGAGCTCTGAGATGCCGTGCGCAAGGTGGTCCGGCCGTTTTCGCACAAGACATTCTCGCAACTCTGAGCTCTCAGATGCTGCGCAAGAGGTGGTCCAGCCTGGGGGCCCGGAAGACCACATGTGGCTCCCAGGGCCCCAGAGAGCTTGAGGAGGCCGCAGGACGCCCAAGAGACAGGCCCCAGGGGGCCCCAGGAGCCCAGAGGCTCCCAGGATGCCCCAGGAGGACCCCCTCTCAGAACGTGTAAAAGTTAATACACATCGGTGTCGATTCGTTGATTTTTCCTGCTCTTGTGGCCCCCCTCACCCATTTTGGGGGGGCCCCGACGGCCACATGTTAGATATCCCCTCCTGGGAGCCCCAAGAGGCTTCAGGAAGTCCCAGGTGGGGTCCAGGAGGCCACAGGAGGCCCAGGAGGAAGCCCCAGGAGGCCCCAGGAGGCCCCAGGACGCCCAGGGGCCCCCGCAACTCGGAGCTCTGAGACGCCGCGCTGAGGTCCGGCCCCTTTCGCCTGAGACTTCCTCGCAGCACGTTTCGCCCGAGACATCGTCGCAACTCTGGGGTCCGAAATGCCGCGCGCGAGGTGGTCCAGCCCGTTACGCTGGAGACATCCTCGCAACTCTGGGCTCCGAGATGCCGTTCGGGATGAAGAGGAGGTGGAGGAGGAGGAGGAGGAGGAGGAGGAGGAGGAGGCATGTTTTAACATGCCATGCCAGCCCGCACTGGACGGGCACGCAATCGACCTTGGAAACCGCAGTGGGTCTAAAAACCCTGTTTGGGGATACTGCACTCCGGCTATAATGTTTTTTTTCTTCTTCTGGGTAATTGCCCCCAGGATTCTCGGGGTGGCCCGGACGGCCTCCAGGGCCACCCTCACGAGGCCCAGAGGGCCCCAGGGGCTCCACGATGGAGCGAAGAGCTGGGGGCACCCGATGCCTGGGGCCGAGCACCGATGCCGATCGATCCCGACCCCGGCCCAGCTCCGCGCCGATGCGGCCGCGAGCCGGTCCGTTTCCGATCCGGCCCGAGGCTTCGCAGGTCGACCCAGCCTGGGCCCGCCGGGCGCGCGGCCCGCTCCCCCGCCCCCCTGTGGCCGAGGGAGCAGCGGCGCGGGCCCGCGGGGTGGCGAGGTCGGCGTCGCACGGCCGATCGAGTCTCGGCCTCGCCGTCCTCGCCCCCTCCGTCTGCTCCTCGCCCCCATCCTCCCCGCCCTCCTCCGTCACCACGCGTTTTTATCTTCCTCCCTTCGTCGTGCTGCTGCCTCCCTCCCCCCTCCCCTCCCGCCCTCCCTTTTGCTCCCTCCTCCCTCCCCATCCTTTTGTCCTGCCTCCGCCGCCATGTGGCCTCAGGGGAGGGGGGCGCTTCCATTTTAGGCGTTGTCGCGCCGTGCTGCCTGAAGGTCGCCCACGGCCCTCTCTGCGGGAGCATGGACCCCGAGCCCGAGGCACCAGGGTCGTGCTCGCCGAAGAGCCCGAAGAGCCCGGGGAAGGGCTCGCCGGGAGCTCCGCCAGCGAAGTGGAGCCTCCACCGCCGCCGCGGCAAGGGACTGCACGTGAGGATCTGGGAGTATGGTGGCGCGAGCTGGCTGGAGTCGCACATCTACAGCCACTGGCTCGAGGCCGACTGCACAACGGACGGTGACCACATGGACGTGCACCTGCCGTCGGTCTCGGTGCAGGGCATCATGCAGCTCCGGGGCTGCCTGGACCACCCCAAGGCCCTGTGCCTGGACCCGCCCTCGAACGGCGCCGCCGAGGACTCCTTCCTCTGGGACACCCTGTGCTCGCTGCTCGACGGGCCCGTCGCCGTCGAGGCCCGGCAGGCGCTGGGCAAACGCCGCAGCCCGTCCAAGCCATCGCTGGAGCCCTCGCGGCCGAAGTCGCCGGCCCTGGAGATGATGCAGCCCGAGGCGGGCCACGGACAGGAGTGCCCCCTTGCCGGAGTGGCCTTTGGTGCGGGCCCGCAGGGGTCCTCGCTGATAGGGCTCCGGACTGCGCGCAGACAGCCCCCCCCTCCAGTCCCCAGGTAGTCCCAGCTGGCCTCAAAAGGGCCCCCGAGTAAGTCTGGGGCGGTCTCAGCACCCCAGCGCCGCCTCTGGCGGCGCCCCTGTGGCGCTCCGCGCCACAGGGCTGGGGTGTTGAGACTGCCCACGCCTACAGTGGACCCGCATAGTAAGGACGGACAACCTTCCCAAGGGTACCCCTCGCATCCTTGCCCCTTCGGCCCATCCTTGGCCGCTTTCGCTGGCCGCGCCCCGCTCGCAAGGTGTCGACACGGCCTTCCAAGGCCCTTGCGCCCTCATCGCGCATCTTCATGATACGGGTTGACTGTGCTCGGGGGGCCTGTTGAGGCCAGCTTGGACTACTCGGGGGGCATGCTGAGACCAGCGGGGCCTACCTGGGGGGGGGCACCTTGCGCGCAGCCCGGAGCCTTACCAGTCGCCGCAGCACCTGCCTGCGCGCCAGGCTTCGGCCGTTCCCGCGGTCCCCCAGAGCCGCGCATCAGAGGTCGCTCTTGCATGTGGTCGCCGTTGCGTGGGGCCGACGAGGTGGGCGCGGAGTGCATGGACATCTCAATCTGCGTCCTCGAGGGTCTCCAGAAAGGCTCAGAAGAAGAATACCAGGAAGAAGGATGCGATACGAATAGCACATATAATAATGACATAACATGTGTAATAGTAATAAAAATAGAAATCGTAGTAGTAGAACGAATGATACTACGAATGTTATGAATAATAACAATGTTCATCATACTTGTAATGATCATAAGATTTACCGTAATACGAATGCGAATGCAAATGCTAATCACAACAAGAAGAATAGTTCAAAGACACAGAAGACGAATAACAAGAAGACGGCAAGCTGCACGAACGAGAGTTTTCGAAGGTCCGCGAAGATTCTCTTCGGTGGTCGGCAGGGCCATCTTGGCCGCTAGCGCGCTGCACGCGCCAGCGGAGGGGGGGTCCAGCGCCGACCCAGGAAGTCCGCGCGGACCTCTTGAAGCGTCCGGCCAGGAACTTCTGCTCCTCGTGTCGCTCCGCAGGCCCTGGCCCACCACGCTTCGGCGCGGCACGCTGACCACGTCCCCACCGCAAGGCGTAACGTGTCGCAGGGGCCGCCGCCGCGACACGCTGAGGAAGTTCCGAACCGTAGAACGGGAGGAGGAGGAAGAGGAGGAGCAGGAGGAGGAGGAGGAGGAGGAGGGGGAGGGGAAGGGGGAGGAGGAGGAAGAATAACACAATAAATAGTAATACTAACATTACTACTACTACTACTACTACTACTACTACTACTACTACTACTACTACTACTACTACTACTACGACTACTACTACTACTACTACTACTACTACTACTACTACTACTACTACTACTACTACTACTACTACTACTACTACTATTACTACTACTACTAATAATAATAATGATAATGATAGTAATGGTAATAATGATACTAATTAGTATTACTAATACTAATACTACTAATAATAATAATAATAATAATAATAATAATAATACTACGAATAATAATACTAATAGTGATGCTGATGCAAATATTACTAATAATAATAATAACAATAATAATGATGATACTGATAATAATAGTAGTAATAATAATATTATTACTAATCGTAATACGAATAATACTAATACTTATACGAATGATAATGACAGTAATAATACTACTGATAATATTATTACTAAGAAGAAGAAAACGACAAGGAGGAGGAGGAAGAAGAAGAAGAAGCAGAACAAGAAGAGGAGGAGGAGGCGGAGGAGGCGTCCCGAGCTCCTCCCAGCCTCCCGCCCCCTGCGGGGCGGAGCGGCGCGCCGCCCGTTCGCTGGGCACCATAGCGTGTCGCTGGGGCCGCAGCGTCGCGGCACGCCGAGTGAAAAGGTTCCCGACCATACAGTGCAGGCCCATGCCAAGAACCACCCTGCTTGCCTCCTGGGTTCCTTGGGTTTCGATGGCTTTGCGGTGGAGAGCGCGGCGCTCCCACACTGAGAATCGATGGAAGCCCTGGGGTATCTCGGGGGTGGGGTGTCTTGTGGAAGGGTTTTCTGGCGGTCGGGCCCCCCACCGTGCGCGCATGCCGTTCCTGAGATCTGCTCCTGCGAGGCTCCAGCCCGATTCTGCTGATGATGCGGTGCGAGAAGCCGCTGGACGCGCTGCGCTACGCCGCCCTTGTCGTCTGCTCCAGCCCGGGGGGGCCGCAGGCGCTCCAGGCGGCGCGCGAGGTCGCAAAGGCGCTCGCCACGGCGTTCGTGGACGAGCGCTTCGTCCACGAGGTCTTCTTCCTCCTCCTTCCTCCTCCTCCTTCCTCCTCCTCCTCTTCTTCCTCCTCCTTGAACCACTTTGAGCACTCTCGACCTCCTCCTCCTCCTCCTCCTCCGCCCTTCGCCCTCCCCTCCTCCTCCTCCTCCTCCTCCTCCTCCTCCTGCTGGGGCGCCTCCTGAAACCTCCCCTCCCTCGGATCGCCGCGCCCTCGTGGCGCCTCGCCCCATGAGATCCACGTGCCGCAGCCTTCTTACGCCCAGCGCATCCTCGCCCGGCTTTTCGGATCCCGGGGCCCTCGCAGATCGATTTCCAGCTCGGGAGCTGCTGCATAAAGATTGGGCCTGGGGCTCCAGTCGTGATTGTTTCCGACGTGTTTCGACTGAGCGACGCAAGAAGACGGGGTCGCCTGTGCCGACATTGGCGCGCAAGCTGCCCGCGTAAGGTCGCGCGCACGCGCCCTTGTCTCCAGCGCAGCGTGCCGCGCTGGCGGCCCACGCAGGGCGCCGCGTAAGATCGCTAATTGTAATCTCGCGTAGACCCGTTCTTGATCGTCGCTTCCATGTCCGTCTGGGTTGGCACGGCCCCATCCGCGGGTGGCGCCACGGACCGCTTCCGCCACCTCGGGGCGCCGCGGAGCTCGGCCCCCCCGCGGGTGGCGCCAGATGCCCTGGCCGCAATCCGCGAGGTGCTGGGAGGAGGAGGAGGGGGAGGGGCAGGAGGAGGAGGAGGAAGAGGAGGAGGAGGAGGAGGGCGATAAGGAGGAGGATGAGGAGGAGGAGGAGGAGGAGGAGGAGGAGGTCCGTTGCCATTTTGGCTCAAGGTTCGGGACAGGCCCGATGTTGAGCGAGGCAGCTTTCTCCGAGCTATCCAGCCGTCAAAGGCTGGCGGGCACACGCCCATTCCTCCCTCTCTCAGATGCCCCCGCATGGCGAGGCCCGTGGATCCCGCTCCCCCGAGCACAAGCTGCCGCGCACCGAGGGCCGCGGCAAGGGCAGCCCCGACTGCCTCACGAGAATCTCAGCCATGGCCGCCTCCGAGGTCGAAGAGCTCGAGCGCCAGCTGGAGGCCGTCCCCTCGTTCCCGTCGCAGCAGTCATATGATGGCGACCATCCTACTCCTGTTTCTCTCCCTGATGGTGATTTTCGAACCTACGTGGATGCCCAGAAGCAGGAGATCCTCTCGGCGATGCAAACCTTGCAGGCCACCATGCTCAAGCTCAACCGCTCTGTCACGGCACACGTCGGTGGTCTCAGCCAACAGGTTGAAGCTAGGCTCGCCAAGATGGAGGCCAGCCAGAACACGTTCAGTTCCAGAATGGACACCATGGCGAAGGAGATCGCCGAGGTCAAGAAGTCCCTGTGTGCCGTTCAGAACGACGAGCCGCCTGCTGCCCCGCCCAGCGGCGGTGGCTTCGAGCGGCGCACCCACCCATGCATCCTCGTCGTCCGTGCTGCTGAGATGGTCTCACGTGAGGCTATCACCCAGGCAGTTGCTCAGTGGCTCGCGGACTCCAACTTCGAAGAGGGCGGCTGGCGCGTCGAGGGCGACCCCGCCGCGAAGCGCTTCACCATCCGCATCAGAGGCGCGCCTGGTTGGGCTGCGCGCATGGTGTCCCAGGCGCTCTCCAACATGCGCCTCGACGACGGCACCTACCGCCGCATGCAGGCGCGAGGACCGACTGGCCAGCCAGTCGACTTGTACGTTTCCGAGGACAAGAACCTGTTCCAAGTCCGCCGCGAGCTCGCGACCAAGCAGGCCCGCAAAATCCTCTCCTCCTTCGACCCCAACCTCAAGCTCCATGCCGACAAGTCCACGGGCATTGTTAGCTGCGAGTGGAAGCCCCTCCTCCGCATCACCCCCAAGCCGAATGAGATGCCGACCATTGAATGGGAGGAGGACAACCTCCGCGCGAAGGGCCTCGATCGGGCTACAGTTGAACCTAGGATTGTCGAGGCTATTTCGTCCAGCTCGAGCTCCGCTCCCGCCGCTCCTGCCCAGTGGCGTCTTTAACGAGTGGTTCCTGAAGACGGGAGGCCCATCCTCCCCAGAGCTCGGGCTGGCCACTTGGAATGCGAGAGCTCTGTTTCGTCATTGCCCAAGAGTGCGGACAACGAAACAGAACTTTGTCCTGGGAATGTTCCGCGGGTTCAGGATCATTGGTCTCCAGGAGGCTCACGGGAGCAGGTTTGACCTTGACGATTTTCTGCACATGTCCGCTACGAAGTACTCTGCGGTCTCCTCCTTCCCCCCCGCCTCGAACAAGGGCGGCGTCGTCGCTCTGCTCCCTCCCCCGTCTTCCTTCCCAGGCCACGGGCCCTCGGTCTTTGTCAAGGAACTGGTTCGCGGCCGAGCGCTCCATACTAAATTATTCTTAGGTCCTGGGGTGCAGTCTGGGTCCGACTCTTAGCACTGCATCTCGCACTTCAACATACATAACCACAACATCAACACACATGACACGCATAGGATCATACGTACTATCGAGTCGGAGCTCGCTTTCGCCCTGTCGGACCCAGAGCACTACCTCGTCGTCGTTGTTGGCGACTTTAACCTCTCTCGGGCACCTCCGCGGCCCGAAGTGCCTTCGGAGGGGGGCGCTGCCGAGGGCCCTGCTGCGCCGGCGTGGAGGCGACAGCTTCGGCCCCCATGGCAGCTTCTCTTTGCACGCTTGGTCGAATTGGATCCAGAAGAGCACACCCGCTACAACGGCTCTCGCCGTCGCACCTCCGCCATCGACATGATCTTTTATCTCATGGCCAGGCTGGATCGTCTCCGCTATGCATTTGGTTGCTGAAGTTAGGGGCCTTCCTGAGACCCTTGAGCAGCGCAAGATCAGTGATCGCGCCCCTGTCACAGCTGTTCTCCGCGCTCGCCCTCCGCCTGACCCCGACGACCAGCCCGTCCCGAGGAGCGTCTTCGAGCACCCTGACTTTCAGAGATACGGTGAGGAGTTCTGGCCCTCCCTGGACCTCTCCGAGCTGAGCCCCTCTCTGATCCTTGAGCTTTACAAGAAGGTGCTCCGAGAAGGCGCCCGTTACGCCAGAAACGCTTTGCTCTCCAAGGACCCCCGCAACATAGCCTCCAAGTTGATCCTCATGAGGTCCATTTCTCGGGCTGTATGGCGTCAAGATCATAAATTAGCTTCGCGTCTTCTTCGTTACCCATTAGCCCGAGATCTTTTGGAGGTTCGTGAAGATGATAGGGTTGCTCTGTCTGATCCTGCACGTTTTTTCCTTGCTGGACGAGCT